GTTATGATAATTGTAAAATATTAATTACGTTTTTTGTGAGATGCAAGGATTTAAAATCCTTGTGAATTGAAACCACGCAAGTATTTTTTCATTTACGACCGTTTAAAATTTAGATATTTAGCTAACTTTGGGTACGCATCCCTGCTCATTGGTGCTCTTACGTTACATAATTTTCATAAATGTAATGACTGATCAAACCTGTGAGACATAATGCACGTAAACATTACAATTTTAATTATGTTCTGTAATTATTAGGAATAAATTCAGTCCCAGTTTGACCTTAACAATGAATATTCTCTTAGTCTGGTAGTATCTATTAATGAAATTAGATATTTTTTTACAGAAAAATCCTTTTGTTTGATTATCTTTCTGCTTTTCCGACCACTGTGTTTCCGACCTTAGATAAATATTTTTAACAGAAATATCGTTTTCTTAATTTTCTTCATTATTTCCGACATTTTCTCATGTTATGATTGAAATACTTAATATCAAATGATGAACGTTCAGAAATTATCAGTTTATTCTGGGTCATTGTATATCAATTAACTATTCCCAGGTTTATTAAATACGACACACACAAGGCGTAGAGGGACCGTCTCAAAGCATGAATTATATAATTGCGTTATCATTATACTTGATATGTAATAAACATTCACATTATTAAAAGCATATATGTTTTGTCAAAAGGCAAATAGGTTCTAACATATAAATGATTTTTAGAATGTAACCTAGTCTTTATTGTTTTACTTTCAAATCTACAAATGAACCGTTTGTCGGATTGTTGAAATATACAATGTCACGTTGTAGCCTATCTATATAACTACCTATATAAATGATGGAAAATTTTCGAGACGTTCCGAGAATCGTGATTCCGAGGATATCGAGTGGCCCATAGGCACTTCCAAAACTCGCCAATATATAAGCGTGAAACCCCTCAGTGGGTTCACGCAAAAACTTTTTCAAGCTGTCATATATATTCTAATGTGTATTACAATTGGAAGTTGAACAGTTATCAGAAGAATTTTTATATGAAATCCCATTTATTTTTTTTATTTTTCTGAATTTATCTATTATTCAACATGATATATTTTTAAAAAGTATAATATGAAAATTATATTATACATTGCATAAAATGTATACATTGCATAAAATGAATACAGGTCTCACTATACCTTCCTAAAAACAACAATTCTAATTTCTATATAAACACCAAGCCCGTCCATTGTTTGACACTTGTTTGATAAACGTGAGTTGGATTTTTCAAATTTTGGAGAACTATTAATAAACCAAATAATCTGTGTATTTTGAAGATGTTTGGAAAAAAATCGAGTTACTCCCCTTTTTTGCCACTTTTCACAGTTTACTACTTAAATGAATGTTACTTCGTAAAAAGATTAAATTTAACAAATTAAATGCAAAGATATATAAAAATATTACTTAATCATTATATCTTAATTAGGACAATTAAAAAATTAAAATATTTTCAAAATTATTTTGTTTATCTCTACTTCCTTTTAGATGTTTAAACTTTAAATTATATGATCTAATATAAAAGAAATATTTGATAAGGCAATATTTGAAAATTTACTGTTTCTTCAATACTTTGGGTGTATCAACAACAGTGTGAATGAAAAAATAAGAGGGGATAACACTTGAAATGAAAAAGTATGATAAGAAATGCAATGAAAACATAATATATAAGTTTTGAATATTTTCAGTAAATACTTTACCATGTGAATATGTTTTTGAAACGGGTATTTGATTTATAATATAAAAAATGTCCCCTAAATTCTTAAATGCAGCTGAAAAAGTTTGTACGCGTTTGACCTGAAATTTTCTTCTTCAATGCAGGTCATGACCTGCATTCATTTTCAGAGGTTGACAGGTATGAATGATTAGGTCTCTTCCTCAGATACTTTGAAAAATTTGTAAGGGGTTCCGCGGAACCCTGTGTCTCCCCTGCGATTGCTGCTGTCAGTGTAAAAATGTAATGTTGAATTAAAAAGTGAGTCCATTCATCAGTAAAATACAGAATTTAAAAAACTTTTCTTTAGATGCTTTTTTCTTGTTCTTGAAGATTATCGTCTGTCCAAGTTTCATAAGAATCCATAAAAGTTTACAAATTTATCATGTCAAAAAAGTTTAATCCCAGACTGTCTGTAAATGTTAACTGTAAAAAACGAAGTCCATCTATCAGAAAAACACTAAAAATGAAAAAATAATTATTTTCAAAGGTTTGCTTCAGAAAATATCTCTTAATCATTAAAAAGCTTCTGCTAAAGTTTCATAAAATTCTATCAAGGTTTTAAAAAGTAATTGATGTGTAACAAACTTAAACCCCAGACTGTATCTTCTTGTTAACTGTAAAAAAGATAAGTCCATTTATCAGTATAATACGGAAAAAATGAAATTAAATATTTTCATAATTTCGCCCTGGATACTGTATTTGGTCATAAACAAGCTTTTGTCCAAATTTCATAAAATTCCATGAATGTTTGATAAATTTATTGATGACTGAAAAACTTTAACCCCACACTAAATTTTCTTGTTAACTGTAAAAAAAACTAAATCCATTTATCAGTAAAATACGTATTTTAAAAATTTTGCTCTGGATACTGTATCTGGTCATAAATACTGTATGTTGACATAAACAAGCTCCTGTTTAAATTTCATAAAATTCCATGTAGGTTTGACAAAGTTATTGATGTATAAAAAAACTAACCACAGACTGAACCTAAATGTTGACGCCCCCGACGACGACGCCGACGACGGAATCTAGGATCGCTTTGTCTCGCTTTCGCGAAATATATTTCGCAGCTCGACATAAATAGGTCAACTATATTGGGTGTACAGAATGATTGTAAGGTGATGAGGTACGTCTGATCTCGACCTTAATTCGTTAACTTTTAGGTCCCAACTAGAGAGAGTGTGTATAGAATGATTGTAAGGTGTACATACTCATCTGACATTGTTTATCTACAATTGATCTTATTTTCATGGACCATTGATAATGTTAATTTTCTGTTATACCTGTATTAAAACCTTGGTCTTAAAGACTTTCAACATAGTAACACAGGCATGAAAATTCAGTATGTGCACTCGTCCTAATCGTAAAGGCATTTGGGACAAACTTTTGGTCAAAGTGTTCTTCCTTGAACACTTTATAAACTTTCAGAAAATGAAACTTAATTATGGCTGTGTTTGGATATACGCCTGAGGCGGCCTATGGTTTTATATATTATATATCAAAATATCAAACCATGGGTACCAAAAGGTACAATGGGTAACCATAGGCCGCCTAATGCATATATCCAAACATAGCCTATGATCCACACATGGCTGCAACTGCAAAAAAAATTATCAGTTTGTCTCCATTGCAATACACATTATCAAGTATTTTTCTTGAATGTTCCGTAGATATTTTTGTTGAGCCTGCAACATTTTGTCAGGAACTAAAGCACGCTTAGGTTCAGTCTGAGTAAGGTTTTTTAGACATTAAAAAATTGTTAAACATTCTTAAACTGTATGCTTTATTATGATTAAGAGATATAGATATTGTCTGAAGTAATTTTTAGTTTCTTCAATTTACAGTATTTTACTGATAAATGGCCTTAGTTCTTTGCAATTAGCATTTACATACAGTCTGGGATAAAAAAAATTAAGACATCGATTACTTTGTTAAACGCTCAGAATGTTATGAAACTTTGAAAGAAGCGTCTTAAAAATCAAGAAATAGCATTTGAAAAGTAAAGCTCGTTTTTGTAGACAAATTTTCTGTCAAGATTGTTAACTTAGTTCAGCTTTAGGGACCACCATTTGTTATTCTTGGGGAGGGGAGTATAAGAGCTAGGATAATTTGTTTCTGAAGATATATTCATAATATTAGAATGTTTGACTGCAATTTCTAGTCAATACTTTGTATTTTAAGATGAATATCAGATGCTTGGGTATCACTTTGTGAGGTTTCATTGCTGTTAATTCTGGTATGACATTGGTATTATGCATGAGTTTATCAAAGCTTTATATTTTTAAGGAAGAGTAGCCAATAGCAGATTTTTTCTTGCAAAATTAGTGATATATTGATCTGCAATTAATCAACAATCAGGTGACAATTACCAGTAATTCACTGGAGACAATAGGCATATATTAAAATTGCATAACTTTCAAATATGGCTTTCAAATATTCGGCTTTGAGCGTTCCTAGTGAAGGTAAATCCAGAAATGCGTTTCAGACGCACAAAGTTTATAAAGTGTTGTTTTTTTTATTTTTTGACTTGGCCTAAACTCAGCAAATAGCAATTGAATTCCCTTTTTATGCCTTTTCAGCAGTATATGGTATTTGTATATTTGAATGCTGGAAATGCAGTTTTGATAAAGGATAAATCCTCATCTAAATGATAGGAAATAAAGAACTCATTAGATAAAGTTAAAAGAAAAAAATCAGCTTTCAATACAGTCTTTTGGAAAAATATTAAGTCAAAATTCAATATATAAAAATAATACTACGCCATCCTGTGAAAGTTCTTCTATCCAGCCATGTAAACATCATTTTTTTTAACTATAAGCTATCAGGCAAAAAAAGAAAATGCAGAAGCAGTGCATCTTTTAAAAACTGACTCAGTCTACGCCACTACGCCACCATACAATCATTCGTCTTCAATGTCATATATTTATTTTAACCAAAAGCAATAAGTAATCCTAATAGGAGTTAAATATACAAATGCCTCTAAATACAGTCATTTACAAGTGATTTTTGTGGAACAGTGATATTGCAAAACAATATAAGTTTCGTTTACCTTTATCTATGAGGGTATGGATGGAGTTTACAGAATATACACTGTAAAAAATGTGCTTAGAATTTAAACGTGTTGCAAGACTTATGTGCTTAGGAAAGTGTTTAATTTCTAAACATAAACAAATAAACATGTTTTGGCTCTCAGCACTTCGCAATAAACATGTTTTGGCTCTCAGCACTTTTCAAAAAACATGTTGCTGTGCTAAACATGTTTAGCTACTTTGTCAAGTATATAAAGCTAAACGTGTTTAAATTCTAAACACTTTCAATATTTAGACACTTTCCTAAACACGTTTAGAATTACAACACATTTAGGCCGAATACGGCATTCATATCACGTGCTAATTTTTGAGCGGGAAGAAGAAACAAAGAACCCGAAGTCAAAGGCCACGCTGTTTACTTCTGATCATAACTGACCGTAACTTGACTGTTTCAGAAAGGTAAGGAGTTATGATTATACTGTCTTTTATTTTGTACTGCCAATTTTAAATGATTATTGACAGTTATAAGCATTATTTACAAGTACACTACCGTATAGTCAATGCAGGAGAGAAAAGGGGGTACCATCCCACGAAACAAGTGCTTGTAAGAGCTTTAAGTGTTCAAACTATCTTGTGTATAGATGATAAGAGTTGTTTAATGTTCTATCATGCAAGTTTGCATTTATTGTTTTATTTCTATGTTCTTGGAAAGGAGTTTGTGAGGATAATTTTCGTTCGGTACTCCTCGACAGATTATAATGGAACATGAAGGGTAGCGGAATCTGCCGAGTCTTATCAGGATGAGGTGCATCATTCGCAATTCCAGTGTCATATCGAGTTCATTGTTTTCGTAAGCACTTCCGATATGCACAATCAACATTTCCTCAAAATAAATAGAAAGATGCTTGTTTATTTCAATAGTTATAAGCGGTTGTGATTTTTTTTTTATAAATCTTATTGATATGTATTGTTTTATTCTAGATGAGAGAAGTGCAGAGGAAATCATCATCTGTCTTGGCATGCTAAAAGAGGAGATAAAGAACAGTAGCAAATATGCTGCTAGGTAAGAATCAAAAGTGTATTTGATTTTAAAAATGCCAATATATATTTGATCAAATGAATAATATTAAGCATGAAAAGAAGTTTTATATAAAAAAATATCAATTGATTCATCAGTAAATTTATGTTTTTATACCACGGTCCTAATGTTGTTATCTGGATCTTAAATCATGCTTTTACTTTTTGGTGTTGTAGTTCGTATTCTTATATTTTTAGATTAATTCTACTTAGTTGCTTAACAATATTTTTCTATATTTCAGGCCATTGACCAGCAGTTGGGTACTAAGAAAGGAGAAGCTCTTATTGACCTGTAAAATGAAAACAGGACATTTTCAAATTGTTTTGTTGTAGGGATGGGGTACAAGTAGAAGATTGGTCAATATTATGTACATGTACCTTGATATGAATTTATTTTTGATTGTGTTCAATGATAAACTGGAAATAAATGATAACATAAATTCCTTTGTTTTATATGTTGTAATTTTGTTTTTAAAGCTAGAATTAGTATAATGATAATTTCCTTTCAAAAGTTCCAGACTGTTTTACGAATATTTGAAATGAAGAAAAAATGCAATAGTCGAATGACGTGAATTGAATTAAAGAAAAAACTCATTGAGATTGAAAAGGTATTGGTCACATTCAATTTGATATGGAAATTCCAGTTTCTTAGTTTGATGCATTGGCTCCTTTTTGTGCTGGTATGAAAACCTGTTTTATTGAGAGCTATCATACGTTTTACAGTCAAGCCTTCCGGAATATTAGTTTAATTGGGGCCTAATGAAGTAACGGCTTCTCACAATAAAATGATAAACATGTTTCTTCACGACCCTTTATGGTCTAAACATGTTTACATTCAAAACACACCACAGCTAAACGTGTTTCCAGACAAAATACTTCTCAGCTAAACATGTTTCCAGATACAACAATTCACAGCTAAACATGTTTAAAGTCTAAGCACTTTTTAGCTAAACGTGTTTCTAGTCTAAACGCTTTACAGCTAAACATGTTTACAGTCTAAGCACTTTATAGCTTGACGTTTAGGCTGTTATCACATTAAATATTAAACATGTTTAGATTTAAAACATGTTAAAAATCGGTTTCATAAATGTGTTTAGGAAAGTGTTTAGGCTCTAAACACATTTTTTAGAGTATAGAAAAAAATGGGCCAAAATATTAAAAGATTAGAAAACAAGAGGCTCTCAAGAGCCTGAATCGCTCACCTGTATTTCAGAGGAGAAGATTTTTAAATGTTAGCAAACTTGATGAACAAATTGTGTAAAATTGTCTTTAAAGGGCAATAACTCCTTAAGGGGTCAATTGACAATTATGGTCATATTAACTTTTTTGTAGATCTTACTTTGTTGAACATTATTGCTGCTTACAGTTTATATATATCTAAAATAATATTCAAAATAATAACAAAAAACTGCAAAATTTTGTTAAAACTACCAATTCGGTGGCAGCAACCAAACAATGGGTTGTTCGATTCGTCTGAAAATTTCAGAGCTGAACAATTTTACCCCATGTCAGATTTGTTCTAAAAGCTTTAGTTTTTGAGATATAAGCCAAAAACTGCATTTGACCCCTATGTTCTATTTTTAGCCATGGCGGCCATGTTTGTCGATGGATCAAAACTTCGGATACAATTTATAAACTAGATACCCTAAGGAACATTTAGTTAAAGTTTGAAGGTATTTGGCCCAGTAGTTTCAGAGGAGAAGATTTTTGAAATAGTTTACGACGACAGACGACGACAGACGACGGACGACGACGGACGCCAAGTGATGGCATAAGCTCACATGGGACCCTTCGGGCCCCGGTGAGCTAAAAAGGGCAAAACAATAAATAATACAGTAGAAATAATGGGGTTCCTAAATGTCCAGAATAGAGAAAAATGAGCAAAATTTAGAAAGAATAGAGAAAAGGGTCTTAAAAATTAAGGAATGCAGAATTTAAGACCCTGATCCAGACCTTATCTATTGTTCCCAGACTTTTTAAGTTTTAAGATTACCCAGGGAATAGTATACTAATATAGTATGCCCCAGGGCAGAGACATATAATACAATTGTATTATATGTCTCTGCCAAGGGCTACCTAAATTCGATCTCGTTAAACAAGACATATCTGTGTGTCCACACTATCTTCTTATTTGCAACTATATTCTTATTATTTTCAGATACAAATTTCTCTGTTATTTTAAAGAATCTAATCACAATAGATCAGATAGTTTTATTTCAATATGTACTCTTAAGCTAAAGTTTCGATTGACCTACTTGGGTTGAATGTGTGTCAATGGTGTGTACTCAACCGTAGCAGTTCGTTGTGTATTGCTTTTGGAGACTTAACGCATGCGTGGATCTATATTGTAAACAAAATGGCGACGGTGAAGGGAAAGTCGCAACCCCACGGGGGAATCGTTAGAATAGGATGTTACGAAATTGATAGAACCATTGGAAAAGGAAATTTCGCCGTCGTCAAATTGGCTACTCACATGTACACTAAAACAAAGGTAAGATATGGCGTTACTCAGTAAACAATAAAATGATACACAGAAAACAGTCAGAATAACATCACTGCTCAGTCATTTGAGAATGTTCATACACACGTTCTGATACGTTGTTAAGTGTCATTTGGCCAATTTTACATTTAAGAAGCCTAGCATTAATGAAGGAAATGCTAAAGAGTACAACAAAGGGGATATATATTTTATACCTGAGGCCGAAGACTTCGAAATCTAAAAAGGTCGACAACCCACATGGGGCTGAGACAGAATTTGTTTACTTAATAATGATTGACAACTGAAACAATTGTTCATGTCGTAGTCCCAATTTTGTCCATTATGAAGATGACAGAGATATTTGTCACATTTATTTAAATGGAAACTATTACAATGTATTAAATATTTATTTCTTGAGCTAATTTTCCTGTACCATTCATAAGTTTAGGGAAGGACCATGTACATGTAACTTTGAGGGGGTTATTGTTTTTTTTTTCGATCTGAAAATTTTCTTATACCACATAAGCAATAAATTATTTTTTTATGGTTCAAAGCATCAAATATTGGCAAAAACTATCAATAAGGATTTGTTTTCCTTTCCCCTGATCTGAATATTTTTTCATGCAAATTTGAGAATCAGTTTTATTTGTAGCAAAAAGCCATACCCCCTCTCCATCACAGTTAAACATTGGTTCTCTTAGCAGTATGAAGAGTTTTTCTATGGTTTAAAGAAAAATTTCATGGGAATTGGATAAAATACTTTGGGTTGGGGAAACAAAATCTATACACAGGTGTTTATCTTAGTATTTTGGGAAAAAGGGAACCTGAGAGAACATGATGCCTTCATGTTTAGGAAATTACTGCTGTCAATTTCTAAAGTTCTGGAAAAAAGATTTATTGAACAACCACCCCTGTTTCCTCTAGAATTATTAATGAAGAAACCAGTGAAATGCCAGACCTGTCTTCATCTGTTACTGTACAAACCACTTATAGACCAAATTGAAATAGTCCTCTTCTAACCCAGTTCTACTAAATATATTATAATTGGAATAAAAGAAACATGACATTTTTAATCAGGTTTCTTAAATTTTTTGTATGACTTTTAACAAAATGTAGAGCTTGACTCTTTTCAATCAGGAATTTTCTAAATCATAAGGGAAAAGTCCTTGGTGTAATGATATTGTATGTATTGAAAATTCTTGATAAACTTGTTTAGACAATATGGTTGTTATTCATTAACTCATATCATGTGTATGGTCAACTTGAATTAAATTTCAATAAAATTTGTTGCTAGTATATATATATCATGCTTTTATTTTATGTGCATCTGTCTCAATTTATTTTTAAAAATCCAGAAAAATATGACTCCCAGTTTATCTGATGACTTGGCAATTTGAAATATATCACCACACCTTGTCATAATTTAGTAAAATAATTTTGAATGTCCAGGACATCATGTCAGTTGTAGTTTGAGATTCTCGTGAATGGTTGTAGACCTATAAATGAAGATATCTGTCAATCACATATAAATGAACTGATAAAGAGCTAATTTTTATTAATTCTATTATAAAAGATATCTCTCTTATTAACGAGTTGGTTATGGAAAAAACCACACTGCTGATCACAAGTTGACCTCGCGTTATAGGTTTGCTAACAAATTATCCATCAGCTGTTTTTTCTTTACTTTTTACAATCAATTTTTATCAATGATTAGCAAAAAATCACCTGTTAATACCCACCCCTCAACCTATCGGATAGTACAACTGGTCGACTCGTATAAAAATACTGAAAACAAATCAGCAGATCGATTTTGCAACATCATCTGACCTCATGACAATAAATATCATCGACAATGATAACTCAAACAGTCGCTCGGTTTCCCGTTATAATAGTTTTGAATGTTAAATACAAGGATGTTCATTGTCACCGTTGTATTTATTTCATTTAATCGTTGACAGTATTAGTACTTGGTCGTTTCAAATATACCTCGATTTTCCTTGTCAGTCACCATATTTGCTTACCTGTCATGCCTGTGCGACTTGTAAATCACAAGTTGTCTTTTTTATACTGATTTTGATAGCGACTTGACTTTGCTTTGTAGTCAGTCGGCTGGTTTGTTTAAGCAATTTTGAAAATTCTTTGGCAACTTAAATCTTCATTAATTTTTGCCGGGAAAAATTACGGCCTGAAATGGGTAATACTGGGCAATACTGGGTAATATGATTTTTAGCTTATTTTTGCACAGAATAGTAAAGACATATTGCAGTTTCATAGTATTATTGCTGAATATATACATTTTATACAGATAAACATTGATACTGTAAATTCAGAAATTATTGCGAGGTTTTTATTAATGCGAATAATGCGACTAGGTGAGGATCGCAATAATAAGAACTCGCATATTGATAACTACAATGTAATACATAGATCTGTATGTAGATTGTTCTGAAATCGCAATAATTAATCTCGCATTCTTGTCCATTTTTGAAAAATCGCCATAATAAATGCACACAATAATTTCTGAATTTACAGTAGTCTATTTCAGAGAACAAAAAAAAAAACCAATTTCTTCCTATATATTCTCCAATAATTTTATTTAGGCAGAATACTTATAAGTTTTTCACATTTTTGGATACCTTGTTTATTTCCCAGCTTTGTTTGAATCAATCCAAAGTTTGTAAATGCAAATTAGAGTAGATCATTAGTAAATTGTAAAATTTAATTGCTATATACAATCCAATTGCTAAATAAACACTCTAATATTGCATATGTCACCCACATTTTTAGATATGAAAAGGCTAATTATTGCAATATAAACATATCTGGGTAAATGATGTGCAATGATAAGTTTGTAAAAAATTTTGTAAACACATTTTAGCAATGAGCAAAAGTGTTAAATAGTCATTTAATTTCCTTACATATAATACATTATTTACTACATATATATATGTACATCTTTGAAAAAAAATCCAAATTGAATTATTTGGATTCGTGTTAACAGTTTGACCAATTTTGACAGAATGGTAATTTGAATGTTTTAGAAGGATTATCTATAGCTATATATAACTTATTGAGAAATATTTTCACTTTTGTCTATCTATGTTCATGCATGTCTTAGAATTAATGGACCAATACTTTCTCAAATGTATACACTATATAATAATACATGTACTATTAATAGTCTCAAACACGTGAACTTATGAATTAAAATAGTTTGTCTTATATATAACTTATACATTGCAATTGTAATTGATCACTGAATACTCTTATAGATTTAGGACAGTACTTCATATTACCCTGTATTACCCAGTTTTACCAAGTAAAACACATGTTTTCACAGTATTTCCCACTGGACTGGGCAATACTCATAAAAACCTGGGTTTTTGCCAACCCTGAATATATATATTATACGGACCATAGAAATCACATTTTCATCTTTTATTCTGTATCTGCTGGTTAATCAATCAAAACCATGTTGACAGCAAATATATAAGAAATAATTTTGCCTGAAAAAATTCAATAAATAGTCATTTTTATTGCGGTCGTATATTGGTATCACGTCGTCGTCGTCCGAAGACACATTGGTTTCCTGACAATAACTTTTGTTCAAGTGTATGGATTTCTATGAAATTTTGCCATAAGGTTTATGACCACAAAAGGAAGGTTGGGATTGATTTTGGGGATTATGGTCCTAACAGATCAGGAATTAGGGGCCAAAATGGGGCCCAAATAAGCATTTTTCTAGTTTCCAGACAATAACTTGTGAAATGGTGTATGGATCTTTCTGAAATTATACCACAAGTTACCATATCTCAAAGGGATGGTAAGAATTTGCTTGAGGGGGGGGGGGGGTTATGGCTCATACTGTTTAGGAATTAGGGGCAAAAAAGGGGTAAAAACAAGGGTTTCCAGGTTAATGGACAATTACTTCAGTACAAAACATAATTTTAAAGCAGTGGAAGGGAGGTAATTCAAACGCATATTGTCAAATTACCTCCCTTACACTGCTTGTATTTATAAAGAAATGTATTGTCTTTAGGTGATTAGCTGTCAATTTATTTTTAGAAGTTACTATTTTTGAAATGTTTAATAAAGGGTATTTTAATTATAGCCATGATTATGTGTGTGAAGGAATTTTATTTTTAGATATTACTATTTAATGTTGCTGATGGAGTCTTTTTAATTTAAAAAAAGCATTTTTCTAGTTTCCAGACAGTAACTAGTAACTTGTGATTAAGTGTATGGATCTCTCTAAAATTGTACTACAAGGTTCCATACTACAAAGGAAAGACTGCAATTGAGTTTGATGGTTAATGCTAAAAGGGGGATTCAAAAAGTTTGGGAGGAAGGAAGGGTTTCCAATTTTTTTTTCAAAGTTTTCCAAATTTTGAATTTTTGAAAAGTTTCAAGAAGAAATCTTCAATTGCACAGTATTGCGCATAAGATTTGTAAGGTCTTTGACCACATTTATTTTGTGTCAGAAACCTATATTATGTAAAAAATTTGATCACAATCCAAATTCAGATAGTATCAAGCTTGAATATTGTGTCCAAATTTGCCCCAACTGTTCAGGGTTCGACCTCTTCGGTCTTATCAGGCTGCGCTCAGCGAAGCATTTTATATTCTGTATATTCAATTGTATATAATACAATTTTGTCAGAGGAAGTTCTTGATTCTTATTGGCCAGTTTTGGAATGTTTTCTTTAAAGCTACAGAAAAAAGGCAAAATCTTTTCAAACTTAATATAGAATTGACAATTTTAAAGATAATTTCTACAATGTATCCCTATTTTGTACTAACCAAGTGACTTAAAAGTCAGCTGTATTGCCACATAATTGCTTATTTTATATAATAAAAAGTTAACACCACATCAAACAGGCAGGTATTCTGATTATTATTGGCTGTATACAAAACTTTCTTTTTGCAGTTTGATTTGATCTTAAAAATTGAACAAGCATATCTGTATACAAATATAATGTAGCTGTCTTTTCTTTGCAGGTTGCCATTAAGATTATAGATAAAACACAGCTTGATGATGATAACATGAAGAAAATTTACAGAGAAATACAAATTATGAAAATGTTGAAGCATCCTCACATCATTAGACTTTATCAGGTAAACTACACATGTAAATGCATCCAATTAGCAGGTAAAATAGACATGTAAATGTATCCAATTAGCAGGTAAACTACACATGTAAATATATCCAATTAGCAGGTAAACTACACATGTAAATGTATCCGATAAGCAGGTAAAATAGACATGTAAATGTATCCAATTAGCAGGTAAACTACACATGTAAATGTATCCAATTAGCAGGTAAACTACACATGTAAATGCATACGATTAGCAGTTTAACCACACATGTAAATGCATCCAATTATCAGGTAAACTACACATGTAAATGCATCCAACAAACACATCCCTTTGTTATTGCTCTGTGTTGTTGTTGGGTTGCTTTTGTATTGATAATAACTCCACATCTCCTTTAATTCCTAAGAAAACTTTTTTGCATCTACAGAAAATTTTGATTTTGTTTGACTGATAAATGGATTAACTTTTTAAGGTCAGCATCACACTTTTTAACTGACAGCAGCAATCCCATGTGAGAAATAGGATTCCACTGAACTCTTTACGAATTTTCATACTACACCTGACCATCTATAAAAATTAATTATTTCATGTGTCCATTAACGGAATTTGCACAAAAAATGGAGAGAAAACTAGATGAAGTCAAAATAATTAATAGAACAACAACATTTAAATGGAGACTTTTTTAAAGTCTTGGATTTTTTGTTGATTGATTGTTTTACCCACATCTCCATTTAAACATATTTAACAGTAACTGATTTGGACATTTTTCTCAATGACCATTATATTCGAAATCAACACAATGAATAAATTAAACATAAAAAATAAACAAATTCTACTCTAAAGTATGTTGCTATTGATGCATTTCTAATGACAGAAATGATATCTTTCTGTATAACTCGTTAGCTTCCGGGGGCTTTGCCTCTCTAACCCCTTACCAAGAGGCCCTCTACCATGGACCCGCTGGGGGCCCTCAGACCCCTTGCCGTGGTTCAGGCTTATTCTTAAAAATGGCCTAGCTATGCCTCTGAAAATGTGAATGATTTAAAAACAGAAATATATGGTCTTTATCAAAACTTATTTACCCACTCACAAGAGCTTTCAAAACTTTTTGACATAAATGGAGAATTCCAAAAAATAGGTGGAGAACTGTGTACTTGTAAAGCTAGTGTTAAACTTGGGTACCTGGCATAGGGAGGTACTCTTACTGCAAAGCTAGTGTTGAACTTGGGTACCTGGCATAGGGAGGTACTCTTACTGCAAAGCTAGTGTTGAACTTGGGTACCTGGCATAGGGAGGTACTCTTACTGCAAAGCTAGCATTGAACTTGGGTACCTGTCATAGGGAGGTACTCTTACTGCAAAGCTAGCATTGAACTTGGGTACCTGGCATAGGGAGGTACTCTTACTGCAAAGCTAGTGTTGAACTTGGGTACCTGGCATAGGGAGGTACTCTTACTGCAAAGCTGGTGTTGAACTTGGGTACCTGACATAGGGAGGTACTCTTACTGCAAAGCTAGTGTTGAACTTGGATACCTGGCATAGGGAGGTATAGAGGGAGGTACTCTTAATGCAAAGCTAGTGATGAACTTGGGTACCTGGCATAGGGAGGTACTCTTACTGCAAAGCTAGTGTTGAACTTGGGTACCTGGCATAGGGAGGTACTCTTACTGCAAAGCTAGTGTTGAACTTGGATACCTGGCATAGGGAGGTATATAGGGAGGTACTCTTAATGCAAAGCTAGTGATGAACTTGGGTACCTGGCATAGGGAGGTACTCTTACTGCAAAGCTAGTGTTGAACTTGGGTACCTGGCATAGGGAGGTACTCTTACTGCAAAGCTAGTGTTGAACTTGGATACCTGGCATAGGGAGGTACTCTTTCTGCAAAACCAGTGTTGAACTTGGATACCTGGCATAGGGAGGTACTCTTACTGCAAAGCTAGTGTTGAACTTGGATACCTGGCATGGGGAGGTACTCTTACTGCAAAGCTGGTGTTGAACTTGGATACCTGGCATAAGGAGGTACTCTTACTGCAAAGCTGCAAAATCATGAAAGCTGGGTATATCCTGGCATTAATTTTCACTTTTTGAAGACCCTTTTTGTTCACTAAAAAGATTTTACATATATTTAGTAAAATCTGCAGACAACAACAGACATATTCCATATAGCAGCATTCGTTAAAAACACTGCTAAAATAAAATTGTTTTCTTGTGAACATGGTAAATACAGGAGACTTTTAACAAGAATACAGAAGAAGTAGTAATCAGGAGACAGGGTTCGTAACAGAGTACACATTTTAAAAATGAATTAGATGGAGAACTCTTTTATAGACCATAACACATAACATGATTTAAAACATCATACTGTTGCCATGATCAAGTCAAAGAAAGGCTGAAGTAGGTCATATATCTATCCAAGAGGGTCATGTGAATCGATTATGTCTCTGCATCAATTGTTAACTATTTCATATTTTCATCCTCTCCACAGAACAACTGCACAAGATGTTACATATTATGTAAGTCAATATACTGTTCATCCAAAGGGGTTTAGGAAAATTAAATTCAATGTTCATATGCATAAAAATGTGTTACACTTATTAACATGGTTAATTAATACTTTATTTAATTGTTTTCTCATTGGAAATTCAAACGGTTTAGCTTCAGTTTTTAGTGACAGGTTGTTTTCAAAGATTTCCTGCAGCAGTACTGTCTGGTATTATTACAACACAACAGTGCCAAGAAAATTGCTGCTGCTTCATTGTTTTTCTGTCCCAAAAAATGCCTTTATATGTATGATGCAATCATTCAGACAAGCATGTTGTTTTTAAACACACTATTAAATAACATGTACATGTACTCTTTTTTGAGTTCAGAACATTTGTACCTTTATAATGATTTTATCAAAACATGTAGGTTTAAAGCCCCTTCCAAGCAAAAGTTCAAGTGTAGTTGAGAATTTAATGTCACATTTGTTGTCTGCTTTTAAATGGCAAGACATTAGTATTTACATGTTCATTGTGTTGATGGTGTATTAGTTCAGTGATTATCACATAATTTCAGTCCGAAGTGTAAATTTATACAAATTATACATTTTTACAGAGGCTAATGATCTTTTATTTAAAATTTGGTTATATATATGATATATAATTAATACATGGTATGTGTAAATTCCTTCTTCTGTGTTCTTATTTGCAAATGCATATATATATGGATGTAATATCATAAAAGATGATTATATAGATCTGACAGGAATACATGTCATTTGGTCTTTAGTGGAAAGTTGTCTCATTGGCAATCAAACCACTTCTTATTTTCATATGTTGATGAATATCATATTTAAGCTAGAAAATTGGTCTAGATTATCAGTAGAAATTCTGTAATATAAAAAAAAGAAGATATGGTATGATTGCCAATGAGACAAAACTCCACCATAGACCAAATGATGTAGAAGTTTAGCAACTATAGGTCATTGTATGGCTTTGAACAAAGAACAAAACCCATACCTCATAGAAAACTAACGGCCTGATATATATATATATGTACAAAACCTTAAAGGAAAAACAAATATGATATACAACAACAAATATGATATACAACAACAAACAACAACCAATAAATTACAGGCTTCTTACTAGGGACAGGCAACTATAAATTATTGTGTAAAGCTATATTGGTTTAAATTTGTTCCTCTAACCAGTTAAAGAGTATTACCCCTATTTTACTTGAATGTGATCGATGCTATCTGAAATGGATGTACAGCTATAGTTTCTACAAACAAGATTGTACATATATTTTATTATTCTCTGTTTACCTTGATGCTTAAAGAAATTTGTGGGGAGAAAACAGTAGTCAGTGCTACACATGGACAATAATAATTTGTTGTCTTTTATACATGTTTGCAAGCAAAATTCTAAGCACAAAACACATTTAGACAAACTTCCTATTTCATCATGTTCCTGAAATATTAGAGATGATTGATTTAATAAAAAGAATAATTAATTGTTGTTTCATGTAGACAACTTGAGGAATTCAAGGCATTTTTTTTCTCACTTGGTTACTATTTTATCCAATTTTGAGTGTGCTACACTGCAAATGTATATGATTTGAAGCACTAAAGCCTTTGTTTAAAAAATAAACAAAACATCCATTTGGGACTGTTGGTCGATAGTTGCACTTGATTTGATGGCCATAAAACTTTGACAGGATCATAGATTATCCTTGCAATGTTCTTCATGCAAAAATAAAATGTTAGGAAAAAAATTGATTGATTTGTGTTTGCTTAATATCAAGTGGCAAATATTTCTTTCATTATCAGGATGAGTACAAAGCAATAAATTAGATATGTACTCAGTCTTCAAAGTCAGTCAACAAGGTTGATGAACAGGAATTTGAAATGCCATTTAGAGACCTGCCTTGAAACATGTCACCTACACATCTCTCAGATAGGTGTTTCAAGTACCTGAACTTGTAGATAGCATGGTTCTATTCCAACACAGGACACCATATCAAGTATTCACATTATTACTGGATATTACTGCTACATACATGTATACATCTTGCACAGCTAAACTAACTCCCCTCGTCAGCATTAAATCTTACTAACACACGAGTTAAGTCTTAAAGACCACATTTCTCTACCATAGGCACCAGGGGGGGGGAGGGGAGGGGGGAAGGGATATAATAAAAAATGGTGTGAATGTTCGGCATACAATTTCCAGCTCATAAGCTATGCAGCCAGTTTCAGCTGTTATGATTGGACCCTTGTTGATTTTATGATCTTTTTAGTTCCCTACCGAGAAGTCGAAGGGGACCTTAGGTTTGCACTCCATCCATCTGTCTGTCTGTCCGTCCGTCCGTCAGTCAGTCAGTCAAAAAATTTTAGACGAATCAGACATCCCGTTGGGTTGCTGCCTCCGAATATTGGTAATTTTAAGGAAATTTTGCAGTTTTTATACGACCGCAAAAATTGAAAATTTTTTGGTCGTATATTGGTATGACGTTGGCGTCGTCGTCGTCGTCGTCGT